GTACTCAAATATAATGCCTAAATTGAGAGGAGAGAAGAGAAAGAGAGAAAAGAGGGGCCTGTCATAGAGATAGGCTGGAGTGGGGGTGACATGAAGGGGTGGGAAGTAAAACTGGGGACACTGGGTGCTAAGAAATTACACTGGTGGGTATTTGAACATTGTATGACTGAAACACAATGTCAAACAATTTTGTAATGCTCTATCTCATGGCGATTCAATTAAAAATACATAAAAAATATATCAGATGCTATAAAGAGGATGTTGGAGGTGAAAAAAATACCCCAAGTGAATTATAAGGAAAATTCCACGGGCATTGATTCATGTGGATAATTTGAATTTTGCTCAGTGAAAGTCAAATTGTACAAAATGAAGTAAATTTACTGTCACTTAAAGTTAAAATAAAATAATTAGCATAAAAGTAAGGATAATTATAGATTTAATGCTTAATTATCAATAGAGAACCTCAACAATTTGAGGATTAAAAAAGTCAGATCAGATAACTCTTGACTGTAGATTAGGGCCACCCCAGAGCAGTGAATGAGCAGTATTCTGAGATACAAAGATCTGTCTTGTTTTTCACATTCTAATGATTCTTTCTCATATTCTACGGTGATGTCAGGAGTTAATTTTCTGAGTGTTCTCTCATGAACATTGCTTCAAAGTGTGGATGAAATCCCCAAACTGGGGCATCTTCATGAAGGAAAGGTATCAGGATCTTGTGGATGTCTCAGAAGAGGGAATGCATTTAAAGTAGATTCTGAAGCTTCTTCTCATCCCAACTTCTTTTGGCCACACTACACAGAAAGGGAAGGTGGCAGCAGAGACTGAGGCGATAACAGCAGGATTTGAGGAAATAGCTGTGGGAAACAGTTCACACTTCAGTATCTGTTTATTCAAGGAATACTTCCCTGTGTGAGTCCTGGTGCTGCTCTCCTTCTGAAGTACCTTTCCTGGAAATATGGGCATCTCCTGAGAGAGGGCTCTGCACATCAACAGTCTCCTAGGTTTTGACAACATTTTTTATCATTCCCACCCTGTCAGAAAAGGTTTCGAGAAGATAAAAATATCTCAGAGCAGCTGATATTGGATTTCTCAGAATTACTCTCGATGAGAATTCTTTATCTAATATCTCCATGATAAAATATTCTAGAAAAAGTCTCTGATACCCTTCATGCAGTTGGTCCTTATTTATCCCCTTTCTTCCTTTGCCTAGAGCTCTGTGGTAATCTCTGAACACTCTTAATTCAGTCTTATCCCAAGGACTCATTTGTTTCTTAGATGTTGAGAATCTTAGAAAAATTCATCATCGCCCAAAAGTTTTGAGAACAGCGTGTTAATGTTTCTTAACTTCACATGGGTCCTGGCCATGTGTGATTTGCAGACTGGCCCCTTGTGTTCACTTTCCCTTGATGGAGAGATGTTCACCCCACTTTCCTCCCATAACTTACAGTCACATGCTCAACTTCTTGTAGAGGTAAATGCCAGATACAGCAATCACCAACAGCACCAACAGCACCAACTCTTTTGCTCCCTTGGAACAAAAGAGGAATCCTAGGAAGAAATGTCCACCCCACATTCCCCCCAAAACTTACAGTCACATGCTCAACTTCTTGTAGAGGTAAATGCCGACACAGCAATTACTAACAGCACCAACTCTTTTGCTCCCTTGGAACAAAAGAGGAATCCCAGGAAGAAATGTATATGGGATGGACCTGGAAATCAATGCACGAGAGTTTACTTAAAGGAGTTATAGAGAAGTGAATTCTCAGGCAACTCTAGTTCTTCCATCTGTGATGCCAGTGCCGAAACTATACTGAAACTTTTGAACTTCACTGCTGTCCTGGTTCAGGATCAATTAAGAAATCAAGGTAAAGAGTTCCCTAATATTGGGGCAGAGCCATAGTCCATGGGAGATGGTGTTTGCCTTGCATGCAGCCAACCTGGGTTTGATTCCTGACATTCCATATGATTGTCCAAGTACCACTAGGAGTAATTTCTGAGTACAGAGGAAGAATCTGAGAATCTCAGACTGTGATCCAAAAGCCCAAAAAGAAGAGGTTCCTTTATTTCATCAGTCACAGGCTAAACCTCCCAGATTGTCTTCATTGAAGGAGGATGAAGAGAAAGCATAGTCAGATATCAAAATTTGTTATTTAATTTACTGAGCTAATCCTCAGACTAAATGTGAAACTTCTCAATGGGTTCCCTAACATGGGGGATTGAAAAGTCTCCGTAGAGGGTGGGTCTGAAACTCCACAAGGTACAAGCTCTGACCTGTGAGCAGACAGATCGTAGGGGAAGAGCTCCATCAGTTAGGCAATCCCACATCAAAAGACAGACCAAGGAGACAAAAAATTGTTAGAAAAAGTGAGCTCACACCAAGGGAATCTGCTTATTGAAAGTGTCACTAGCATAGTGCTCAGGCCTTAGAAAGATGATTAAGGAATGTTACGGTCTATCAGGGTAAACAAAAAATAGAAGTCCACAATAACCGTCCCTGAAATATAACAAGAAAATAGTAACTGTCCTAAAGTATAGGAATCTCTGTGTACATAGAGGAGATTAATTATAGTTGCTTTACTTGAGATATGAATTATAAAGTACTTGAAGCTACCCTGCACAGTGCTTAACACCTGGTTTATGTCTACTTGGCAACCCAATGAAAACAGTTTTGTGTATCCAACTTTCTGAGTTGGGAATGACTGTTGGAAATTTTCCCAAAGTTAGAGAAAGTGTTTCTAGAGGGATTACAAGGGAAGCAGTGCCACAGTGGGATCCAGGGAGCTGATCCAATGGCCTATCCAGAGGGCTGGTACTGGTACCCCCAGTGTCTACCTAAAAAATGGAACAGCAGGCATGTCTCTTTTCCAGTCCTGTGGGGAGGAATAATTCAAGCAGTAGAAACATTTAGCATTGAGGTAAACAGAATATGCTTCACAAAGTAAACCAAATCTTATTGGCACCCCCAATCTATTTGTATTCACCATTTTTCTTCATACACTTATGAATTTACTCATGCCTTTCACAGCCACCCAGGTTTGATCCTGGCACCTCCTACAGGGTAAGTAGGAACATTGTCAGATGTAGCCCCAAATAAAAACAAAGTGATTGATGACACTATTTTACATTGTTAAAATTTTTTAAATGAAGAGATTAATTTTTATTAATATAAATGTTTATGGGCTAGAACGATAGCACAGTGGGTAAGGCATTTGCCTTGCACGTGGCAGACCCAGGTTCAATTCCTCGGCCTGTCTTGGAGAGCCCGGCAAGCTACGAGAGTATCTTGCCCACACAGCAAAGCCTGGCAAGCTCCCGTGATATATTCAATATGCCGAAAATAGTAACAAGTCTCACAATTTGTTGTGAGACATTACTGGTGCCCGCTCGAGCAAATTAATGAACAACGAGAGAACAGTGCTACAGTGCAATAAAGGTAAAGGTAAAGGTAAAGGTAAAGGCCCTCCCGTTGATCGTCGATTGGCTCGAGCGGGCCCAGTAACATCTCCATTGGAGACTTTGTTGTTACTGTGTTTGGCATATCGAATACTCTCGGTAGCTTGCCGGGCTCTCCGAGAGGGGCGGAGGAATCGAACAGTGCAATAAATGTTCTATTAAAAGTTAATAAAGACAGTGTATAGAACTGTCCTTACGTAGAGGGAAGATGAGGTGGATTGAAGGGTTTCTTGGCATATTGGTGGGAATAATTGTCTACTGTGGTGTGGGTGATGGAACAATATACCATTACTGTATTGTTAATTCTGGTACCAGAATGAAAATGGAAAACAATGATAGAACAACATAGTTCTGGGTTCCATTTCTAGCTAGACGTGCAAATAGGACTGTGGTGCTATGGGCACAATAAAATAAATTCCGTGTGCATCTTCTTTGAGGAAATTTTCTCATTCCCCTGACCAGCAGATAAAGACAACTTTAGGGCATGCTGGAATAATGCTGGGTCTTTGTGTGTGTATGTGTGTGTGTGTGTGTGTGTGTGTGTGTGTGTGTACATACTTTGGAAGGTTCTCCCAGAAACCTGACTGGATTGTCCTCATGTTTCATGAAGGAGAAAAAAGATGTATTTGTTCACATAAACAGAAACTGCAAGTCCTTGAATAATGCCATCAACAATGGGGAAGCACATCAACAATCACATATCAGGTGTCATGGGTAGTGGTTTCTGCCTCAGGAGTCATGGACCTGGATTATTTCATTCCGACCATCTGGTTTAAAGTAGGAAGTCTTAAATCATCCTTCCCTCATTGCTCCCCAAATCTCTTCTGTAAAAATCTAAACTCAGGGGATGGTTTAAGCAGAAAGGAGATTGTATATGGAAAGTAATTTCCAGTGGTAACCGTGCAGAATGTTGATGATGAATGCAGTTCCATTGTTACAAACTAGAGGACACAGGAAATCCTTGATTCCAATCACCACACGCAGGTGACCAATGGGACTCAACTAGGTAGGGTTTCCTCTGTGTCTGCACAGACAGAAGGTCCCAGTGTGATTGGGTGATCTTACAAAACAGATGAAACAAATGGAAGTCTGGGATGGAATCAAGTCTCACCAGGGTTAGAAAACAGGAGGGAGATGAGCTGAGTTGGATGGTGAAGGGAATCGCTGTGAGGAGAATCAAGTGGGAGGCAGGACTCATGAATTATGACCTTCCTTCCCCACTTTATTTCTTTATTGGCTTGTCCACACCTGTCTCTGCTCACAACTTACACCTGACTCTGCAGTTAAGAGTCACTCCTAGATAGCTTGGGGGGGTACCATTTGGGTTTTCGGAGATTAAACACAAATCAGTTGAATGTAAGTCAAGCAGTTACTCACTGTAGTATATCTCGGTCCCTCCCTACTTTATTTCTCAAGATTTATTTATGTCCAACACCTGGCACCAACCTCATCCTAGTGGTTCTTCTTGGAATGCATGATGGAGGCAGAGATTTCTAAAAGTCTGTACAATCAGTATGATTATAATATTTAAGATCAAAAGGAAGCTAGATCAGTAGTTTTGTACCCTTACCAGGTTGTTCATTTGAGCTCAGGGTGTGTGATTTGGTGAGCACTGGCTGCCTATCGTGTTCCACCTGGCAGGTGAAAGCCATGTTCTCCTACTGGCAGAGTAGTTTACCAGGAGCCAGCCGGTCCGATTAAAGGTCCTGTCCTTGTTCTCTAGGAGGAGGGAGACCATTTCTGCCCGGGACATGTTTCCATTCTCCAGCCAGGTCAGCTGTAGGTTCTGGGGGTAGAACTTCTTCACTTGGCAGGTGAGGTTCACCTGGTTGCCCACTGCAGGGAACAGGGAGACCTCCAGCGTGGGTGGAACTGAAAAAGCCCAGGGCAGAAGCTCTGATCTCGGGGGAGAGACAAGTCACAGGACCTAGGATTTAGCGCTTAAATTCCAATACACAGCAGAAACTCACCCCAACAGTCCCAGGCACACAGAGCTAGGTAGGAGCTCACACTGGGAGAGCTCTTTGCACAAGAATGAAACCAATAGCACAGTATCTCACACAGAATAGTCGTCAGGCACAGCTTCTACTAGGGAAGAAACAAGTGGGATAAGCAAAGTCTCTTGCATGCAGTATGAACATAATAATATCACCAAAAAGTGAAATAAAGAATGCACACGGGGGTGGTTGATATTAGGTAATTAGGAATTTCAGTTGCTTTTCACAAAATAAATGAGATATTCTGTACAGTATGAGAATACAGGTAGGTTTGCCATGGAAAGAGGCATGTGTGGTGGGCACATCTAGCACGCTGGCAATCAGGAAGGGCAGATGGGATTTAGATTCCAGAACAGTAGATCAAAACTCAGGGGGCAGAAGCGGTCAAGGAGATGCAGGGGTTGGGGTGAGGGTGTCTACCTCGGATGATCTCAGACAAGCTGACCATCGCTCGGAGAGGAGGGCCCCCACGCAGGAGGACGTGGGTGACCTCACAGATTACCTGGGAGTGCACGCCCCCTGAGGTCAGTGGCACCCTGGCTGTGCTGGAGATGCTGTAGGAGGTGCTCTCCCTCTGTAGTTCCACAATAGTATGGGAGGCCGAGAGTGTGTTCCTATTTTTGAACCACCGCAGACTGATGTCTCTGGGGAAAAAGCCATCGGACTTGCAGGTGAAGTTCACTGTATGCCCACGTGGGACCCTCTTTGTAGGGTTTAAGACCTCTGGATGAGAAGGTTTGGCTACAAAGGGAGCATTTGGACACAGTGAGCACAGGGAGAGTGTGCACCAAGGACAAACACCTATGTTCAGTACATCATGACCTACAAGGCAGTAACCTCCTCAACTTACAGAGCTCAAGTGCTTCCCAGCAGTCACTCTCCCATGCATGCTTTTGTGGAGTGTGGAGGCTGACAAAGAAGGACCTTTGGACCCTTTATGTGCGCACTGACAGAATGTCAGTCCATCCTCCCACCTTCCTTCATTCTGTCAGTTCTCAGCAGTGTTCATTGTGCCCTTCATATCTGCCAGATCCTGAGCCCAATGCTGCGAAGGCTACAAAATGGTTCCCCATTACAGACTGCACAGTTGCACAACCACAGTCCAGGGTCTCTGCCTTTACACAAGGTACTGCAGCTGGATCTCAGGCTGCCCCAGGTTTCTAACCAGAATCCTTAACCTCTGCACATCTCTAGCTCCAGGGACACCAGTGGTCCATTGGCTCCCCTGCAGGGAGATGGCACTGTGTGGAACTACACTCCTCAGTGAGCATTCCGGGGTCCTGCCACCCCTCTCCTCTGGCCTTCCTCCCTCTCCTTGTCCCCAGTCTCAACACTGCAGCCATTTCTGCCTTCTCAACCTCCCTGCACAGACACCAAACCCACATGTCTTGCCCCAGCTGTGAACATAAACAGATATCTTCCCTCTTTCCACTCTTCTCCCTCCCCCCCCTTTCTCCTCTCCAAAAATAAAAATAAAGAAGAGGACCCTGGTCCCATGTGGAGTGATAGGTCAGAGGTCACAGAGACAAGGAGGCAGAGCACAAACATGAGTCCAGGCAGGCGGCTCACCAGGCTCTCTTCTGGGGCTTAGTGATGATAGTGATGCTTCCACAGGACTTCGTACCCATCCCTACAACTCACAGACTTGAACTAAAGCCACTATTTCACTGATGGAGAAAAGGAGGATCTCAGACACTGAGACTTCCACAGCTTTGGGATGACAGCACTACTGCTCATCTGCTGTGGACCAGCCCCCATGAAGAGAGTGCCACCGATGGTTAAGAAACAAGACAGAAATGACTGTAGAGTGGGGTCACAGGGCTAACACCCTTAGGACTGTGCACCCCATTGGTACCTTACAGATCACATTTATTGCCTTATGTCAAGAAACCAGAACTGGGGGGACAATATTCTTAGCATGGGGACAGGATACTTTGATTACAAGCACAACTGCTCTCAGAAAACCTACTCTAAACCAAGCTTAGTTCTAAACTAAATTTCATGCCTTGGGCAGCCCAGGGCAAATATCTTTCTTGAGGGCTTTTTCTTTTTATCTGTTTTCTCATATCAAGTCTGTCAGGCCAACATGGAGCAATACAGGTCCATGCCTCAGTGCTGTTCCACGTAAGTTAGCACCAGTGTTCTCAACACAAGGTCCTGTTTTTCTGCCCCTCCCCCACCCCCGGCTCTTTCCTCATCCTGTCTAACTTAACCCTTAGTTCCCAACACTCATCTGTTCTCTCACCAGGCTCATTGCATCTTACACCTTCCCACAAAGATTGGTGGATTAGTTGCCTTCTATGCATAAGTAGACTGATGAGCAGGAGGAAGCTGGTTCACAATTTTCATCTAGCCCCTGGTTTGGGACTACTCAGAGCTTCTGAGCAATGGCATCTCAACTCTCCTAAAAGGAGTCCATTATTATTGCCATTTTGGAAATGAGAAGACTGAGTCCTCTAAAGATTGTCTCAGGACTTCCCGTCATCTCATCAGGCAGCCTTTTGTCACCTGACTGAGGAATTTTCCCTGGTTGAGATTTTCCTCTGCTCAGAGTTTTCAGTGACTGTGTGAGTCTTTCTCTGAACCACTGCAGGGTTTCCTTACAGCCCTTCTGAAATTGGGCAGCCCCGTGACTTTCAGACTGTCAAACTGAACAGAGTGTGTGCCTCTTATCACCTTTTGTCAGTGATGTTTCACAAACAAAACCAAACGAAGCCCTATTGCTGGCACGTTGTTAGAGGGAATAGAAATAATTTATTTTGGAGTAAAGCCTCTGGTCATTGCGATGACCCCTGTTTCCACTGTGCCCAGAGTAGGGCTGGACACACAGGAGGTACTGAGGAAAGAGAAGATGCTCCATATTGAGAACAACTCTCAGAGTGTTCTCCTCAGATGCAAACTGCAGGACTCAGTGACCTTCATTTCTTTGATTTCCAAAGGCAGGTGAAGTGAACTGTAAAGCTGATCAAAGGACAAGCACCAGCTCCTCCCCTGGCCTTAGTTCTTGCTCTCAGAAATGAGGCTGACTTGACTGACTGCGGTCACACAGCAGAACAAAGGACTCCCCTGCACTCACCACTCACAGTGACCTGAGTGCCTGACAGATATTTGAACTCCATATTTATTATGTTCATCACACAGTAGTAGGTGCCTGTGTCAGCTGGACTCAGGTCACAGATGCGGATGGAAAAGTCTCTCTTGGTGGTATCCGAAGCTTCGGTCACTCGGGGGTGAATCTAGGAACTAGGAGCTTAAGGACATGGCATAGAGGGTGGTTTAGGAGCTTTCCCTGGAATGTCTGGAATTAGCAACTCTCCTGTTCCTACACTGTCTGACTCGACTCGGGGAATGTTGGACTTTTTCTTTTCATTATGAGGAATCATGAGACTTTTCTGACCAATGAGTGTGAGCAGAGGGACGGTGGTGCTAATGGGATATCCCTGACCTGCCAGGGCCTCAGTAAATCCATCCTTCTCTTCCCCAGATGATGCTCCTGGCAGTGTCTGTTCTCAGCCTGAGTACTGAGAGGAAGATGCAAATTCTAACATATACATGGAAATTCCTCAGAAACTGAACATGGTATCATGTCCCTGAGATTTTATACTTTTTTAATTGCCTGATCAATATATTTTGGTGTCATCATTCTGCTGTGATAATTATCAAAAGCTTGTTGTATTAAATTAATAGAATATTATCTCAACAGATGAATAAATGAACATAATCTATTATGTGTATAAAATGGAATATTTGCATTCCTACTCATTAATGAAATTCTGATCCGGCCTATAATACAAATGAACCTTAAAATAAATACTTTGTTAATTGAAATGAATCACATATAAAAAGAGAAATATTCACATACATATATAGTATACCAAAAATAGACTAATTCAATGAGGAAAAAATACACTGGAACTTGGGGAGCAGAGAGATTTGAGTCTTTTGGGGTACACAATTTCTGCTCAGCTTAATGGAAAGTTCTAGAAATGTATGCCGTTGATGATTTCACCATTGTGAATGTGCTCTATTCCTACAAATTTTATTCTTTTAACAGGCTGGTTCATCTTATGTATAATTAACATAATAATAAGCGCATATTAGAAAAAAGTCATTAGTCTTTGATTTGAGCTAAATGATTTAAGGAAAAAATAATAACAAAAGTGATACAGAGGAAGGTGTACTTCTTATACATAGATATTTGAATGTGGAGAGAGATCAAGGATACAAGAGAGCAAGAAACAGCAAGGTTCAAATTTGTGTTTTGAAACAAACGGAGCAGTTAGTTGCTTGGACAAAATGAGTTATGAATTGAGGGACCGTGAGTCACTCCATGATTTTTCATACCAAGTGAAGGACTTTCCAGTTGGATTACCTCCCCAAAGACTAGGCATTTTATGAAATAATATAAAAATAATTTCCTCTGATTTGTAGTGTCTCATGGTTCTGGTAACAGATCTGCATCAGAGGACCACTATTGTTGTTGGACCACAATTAAATCCCATGTTGTGAAGGCCTACTCCCCTCCCACAACACTTAGCCTTGCTTATCATCAGCAGAGTCATTTTGGAAAAGCACAGCTTTGGCCAGTAACTGTCAGTTGAACCGGATAACATCCATTTATGAGGATCAGATGAAAAAGCAGAATTATCCAGCATGAAGTCAGTGGACATAAATACCAAACCAATCAAGGGAAAAGTCACTAGGGAGTGTCACAAGAAGGTCAGGGAAGCCTATTGAGTTTTTAAAGTATAAATGAATTCTGGAAACAAGGGAGAGGGGTCGCTCTCCTACTAGAGGTGATGGCCCCAACTGGTCAGATTTATTTTTTTGGGTTTTTTTTTATCAGCTTTCTAAACTCCATATTTGTTTGACTTGTGCCAAATAAAGTCTTCTGTTGCAGAGTTCATTGCTTTGTATGGTCTTACAGACACCGGATTGTAACAATATTCTTTTTCTGTTTCTTGTGCTCAACAAGATAGAGTTGTGGTTCCATTTTGCAAGTGTGAGCTGGTAGAGCGCACCCACTCAGCACCTGTGTGACCAGCCTGGCTCCTAAGGAGGCGCTGCTCTCACAGGGCACACCAGGCTCGTTACTCTGGTCAGGGCCTCGGGTGGTTTGAGTTTTAAGTCAGGAGAAGATTAGGGACTGCAGAGATAGTTTAGGGTTCTAGGCACTCTGTTGACTATGGGTCAATGCCCTGGCACTGCGTGTGATGCCTTGAGAACCCCCAGGAGTGATTCCTGAGCACAGAGCCTGGACATCACCAGCTGCGGCACCAAACCCCAAACTCTATACATAAAAATAAGAGAAGATGATTAGACAACGAGAGACTTTGTGACAAAAGTGACTGTTTATGTCACAAAGTGCAAATAATTATGACTGAATCTTGAGAGATGAGTAAACTGAATAGTGGAGAGAAGGAAGAAGAAAAACCAGAAGGTTGACAGAAACCAGGCAATAGAGAAACTCTGTCCTCTGTAGATCCATAATTCTCACATTCACACTCAAGGCCAGACCTTTCCCCCAAACTCTGGACTTTTTGTACAATTCTCCCGGACCTTGATTCTTAGTCAGAAGTAAACATCACACAGTTAACATCCCAGAAGTGAATTCCTCATTTCCTCCCTTGCCCTCACTATCAGCTTGATACTCCCAGATCTCAGATTCAAAGCTCTTGGATTTTTCTCTCTACTCCAGCACTGTGCAACAGGAAATCCTGTTGACTGCTCATAAGCTCATG